TCTCAATGTTTTTAGCATAAAATTGTTGAGGAGTTTTCATCATTAAAAGATACACCCGTGGAAAATTTGACCTCCTATTGCTGTGGCCATTCATTGTCTTACAGCATAAAGGATGGCTTTACCCCAAAACTGGATTTTGATTCATTTTCCAGTAAAACTTCCTTAAAATTATAAAGCCCTTCTTCATCAACCCACAATAATTATACATATCTAGAAAAATGAAAGTTCCAATTTATTGTTCTATCTGAACTAGGAAACGGTCTACATAATCAGTAAAATGACAACAAACATGCTCCAGTATATCAGCAAGCATCTGCAAGGACTAAACGCAGCATACCATTTACAAGTACAGGAGGGAAAAAATATGTCAAAGATTAACTGCAATAATATCTATTTCCTACTACTACTGTAATTTCCTTTCTTTCCCTTAAAGGGAAGTATATGCATCAACTGTGTTATCACAGATTTAATCCAGGTTTCTTACTTGATTCCAGTCAAGTAAGATACACAAAAGGGAAAAAAACCACAGAGCTCTGGTTGGCAGTAAAAGAGATCATTAAACCATACTCTGGTCAACCCCTGGCCTAACAGAAATACAGATGATAAATGGTGATTCAGTTGAAGATGGTGAAATAAAAGCAATTCACTGTTCTCCTATGAAATCCTTCCCAAAATAACATAAATAATGAAAAATCGGGGGGAAAAAAAGAACAAAATAAAATCACATCTGCAATTATAAGTAATTGACAATGAACTGTGATAAATAGCTTTCAAACAGAGATACATTTTGCATTACCAGGAGAAAGGACGTTCCCTGGCATGCATCATGGATAGTGGATTTCACTCAATGTCATGGTCCTGAGACATTCTTCACAGACTGTTTGAAGCCATCATGAGATGGAAAATGGAGAGGCAAGAGAAAAACAAAATCTGTCTTCATACAAGTCCAGTTACATCTCCCCAAATGGGGGGATATGGGGATAAGGAAAAAGTTGCCCATAGACTGTATTTGATAGTTGTGAAGCAGCATGCTGGGTAAAACAGACTGCGTTAGCGTGAGAGACAGAAGGGAAGGGGAGACAATCAGGAGAGTGTTAACAACACAGAGAAAGTAAAACTGGGAGAGCTTTACACTGTGAGCCACGTGGAGCACCAAATGTCAAAAACAGAGGAAAGTATGGTCCCTGGGCAGAAGTTAAAACAGATCTGGGGAGGTGGGCTTGGAATCTGAAATTTAAATAGCTGCTGTGGGCTGCTATGATTCATTCTCCTGCCACTTCCCACATAGAGTTCAGTAAATAGCTGGCTTCATTCAGTGGTTAATACAAAGAAATCCGCCTGAAACACAGGCAGGGGAAGCAAAAACAATGAAAAAGCAGGGGAAGTTCATACCAGAGGAAAAATAAAAATTTTTTTCAGGAAACAGGAAAATTTTATATAGAGTTATTTGTAGTCAAATTACAGACATGCTTTCGTTAATAGGGGAGTGAGAAGTTCAAAGAAAAGATAACGCTTTAAGAGATTATAAAAATGGTAGAAAGAAATGAAAAAATGAAATGGCACAGACCAAGAAAGCAGTGGGAAAGAATAAAACCAGTATGAGGTTAAAAATTACATTAGAGGTTACAAACTAGAATAAACACAACTGAAAACTCACTTGGGTTATGGTTGACAAAAGTTGACAACGAATTTATAAATACAAAAGTGATCATAAAAATATAGTTACAGAGGCAAAAGAGATTGGACATAATTAGCAATTAGAAAGAAAAATTAGACACACGATAGTAAAAAAGCTTTCCTGAAATAAAGACTGAAATGTGGAATAAAAACACAGAGTCCCCAGAATTTCTTGCTTTATTCAGCACTATCTAAATTTCAACACTCTCCCCAGTTTCGCTCTAGTATTTTTAATCTGAAATATAGATAAAGGTAGATTCGCGATGGGGGTTTTTTTCATTGTTTAACAACATTCATATATGAAATATTTGGCTCCTAAATTTGTAAAACTGTCTCTTAATCACTCACTCACTTTACACTTCTATACAAACATATCTACACAGAAGTTAACTGGCATGATATTCAAGAAATATTAACACTTTTAGGGGGTGGGATTTTGAGCTTGTTTTTAAATTTCTGCAATGCCTATCTTCATTTTTAACAGTTATGTATCATTTTCACAAATGACAATGAAATCATTGGGATTTTAAAAAGGAAATGAAATGCAAAGATTAAGGGAAAAGAAAAATGAGACCTCTCAATACTTATATTATCTCCAGATTCGTCGCCCTCTGTAGCGTAGCAAATACAGCAATCAAGTGAGTTCTCTAAAACAGAAACATAGCACATTCATTTCATCCTATTATCCTGAAAGATTTTCAATAAATTGCCATTAGTCCAGGATCAAATCCAATTTCTTTAGTAATTTACACGAAACTCTCTAATCCAGCTCCAGCAGGTCTTTCCAACTTCAACGTCTTTCACTTTCCCAGATTCACCTTCCCTCCTGAGAATGATTTGTAGTAAGAGTTCTACATGCTTCAGGTGGTGGTAAAAATGTGTTCTTGTTTGTGGAAGTAGGTAGAGGAACTGGAGCTCCAAATTATTCCACATAATTCAGTTCAAAATCATCTCTGTGAAGCTTTCCCTGCCATCACTCTTTTTTCCTCCCTATATACAAAGTTATAAAATTATGTGCCTTTTCCACCCTCAATATCAGTGCCAGGCTGCAATATTTTTAAAGCCTGATGCAAAAGAAAAAAATTAATAATGATCCCACATTTACTTAAAGCCTGGGTATTTTGTTAATCATTGATTTTTGCATGGATTTGATTTTTAAAAATGGTCTTCCAAAATATTATTTATCTTGATTATTAAGGTTTTTGATGACCCTCTGTTTTTTGTGCTCTGGGTGAGGGGCTCATTCTTATCACCCTAGTCTTAGCCCTACTCTATACCACTGAAGCATTTAATACATTCTGTAGTTACTTGTCTACACATCTATTATCACTACCAGACTGGGACCACATAAAAAGAAAAGAACCAGTTTCATTTCTCTGTGTATATCTAAAAATCGGCATAGTACCTAATATGGAGCAGAAGCCCATTCAGTAAGGATGAATAAATACTCAGAAAAGAGAAATAATCAAATTCTTTAAAGAATAAAATCTTCCACAGGGAAGAAAACATCTATCTAATCTAAATGGAGAGGGATTTTTTTTTTTTTTGGTTGTTTTGCTTTTCTTTTTTTAAGGTAAGGGAACCTTAGCTTGAGTCAAGTCATGAACTTAAAGTAATTAGGCAGTGAAATGACAATCAGGCTTTTTCCCCATAAACATCGACTGTGGCACAAAGTATTGAGTGTGTCTATTCTAAGTATATGCCTGTATTTAGTCTACTATGAGGATCAGAAAATATTAAAATTAAAAGAAATCTTTAAAATTATTTAATTCTCCTATCCTCTTACAAATAAGGAATCAAGCCTACCAAAGTGACATAACTTGTTTAAAATCACAGTAGAGTCAGAACTTGAAATGAGGTCATCCTCGCGTTCTCCACTTGGTGTTTTGCACTGGAGGTTGTTCACAAATCTAGTAGTTCACCCCTGGAAAACTGAGAGTGAGGATTGGGGAATCTTTTTTTCTACGTTGGGCAGAATTGAGCAGTTCATGGGTAAAATAAACCACAAACAAATTTTTTACTTATTTGAAACACGGTCACTGTTAAGGTGATGTGATTGAAAAATGACCTTCCGATGTTAATTCCAGCCACTTGCTTTTGATTTTGTCACTGGCCTCTCTGTGATTCATTTTCATGGGTAAGAGAGTGGCTCCACTCTTTCTGCCTACCCTAATTCAAGATTTGTGGGGTCTGATTTAGAACATACACTATTCAGGGATCCCTGGGTGGCGCAGCGGTTTGGCGCCTGCCTTTGGCCCAGGGCACGATCCTGGAGACCCGGGATCGAATCCCACGTCGGGCTCCCGGTGCATGGAGCCTGCTTCTCCCTCTGCCTGTGTCTCTGCCTCTCTCTCTCTCTCTCTCTGTGACTATCATAAATAAATAAAAGTTAAAAAAAATTTAAAAAAAAAAAAAAAGAACATACACTATTCAAATATCTGTATATGAACAAATGCAAGTCATTTTTAACTGCAGATTAATCATATAAAAATACTATCATACCTAGTCATGCCTGGAGTAAATTGGAAGTAATATCAACTCCTACTTGGAGTTGAAAGCTAGAATATAGATACTGGTACTGAATAAGACAATTCTGATTTTCATCTTTAAAAGATAAGACATACAAAGTTAACCATTCTAACCAGAATTCTTCTTCACAAATTACCAAGACCTTGAGCTCCCCTAATGACTCTTCTAAAATTTGCTACTGTGACTGGTTCTTCACAAAAGTGTTTATTTAATGTAGCTCTGAGTTACTGGAAAGGTAAGAATGATGACCAAAATAAAAGATTTAGCCATGACTTGATCTGATGAAATTGAGTTACAGAAAATAAACTATGCATTATTATCATTAACATAGTATGCAAATGAAATAATTCCTTTTTATTATATTAATGATTAGACTTACTGTTCAATTCATGCTTCATATTAACAATTGAGAATCCTTAGTTAATTTTTCCCTTCCTCTTTATTTTTGACCACCTAATTTATTTTAAAATCTTCTTCAAATACAAAGAAGAAAATTACAGGTTCACCTGGGGGATCCCTGGGCTGCAAATCTATCACTAATTTTTATCCCTTTAAAATCTGTAAGATTTATAGAAGAATTTTTTTTAAAAAAAGGGAAGCCAATAAGATATTTCTTAAGAATAGACCAATGGATAAGCGAGGAGTATATTCCTCACTGAAGAAATAAGGTCATTTCATTGGAATAATAAACAATCACAGTTTCCAACAATAATTACAGGCATTGTCCTTAAGGCTAGAATCTACTCACATTCATAAAATAACTTATGATAAGCTTTTTTGTACAAGTGCTCTTTATTAAATATATACATATATACAAATTTTATTTGGCCTCATATTACTGGCATCAATTTTTAAATAAGGACTTGGATTGGATGATTTCTAAGGCATCTTTCAGCCTTAAAATTGTTAGTGATTCTAGGACATGCCTAGAGTGATAGCCAAAAAAGGAATTCTCAGATATAACTCACAATATTTGGCATTTGCACGTTACATACAGTTCTCATACACAACCATTCCAAGGCAATGCAATAGCTGAAAAACTAATGGCAATTAATAAATATCATTTCTTTTCTAAAATATAAGAGATTCTTCTTGGAAGGTGGCCATTTTTATCAAAATGTTCCCCCCAAACATCCGGAACACATTCATTCACACAATCCAGATCAGAAAGAAAGAAATATAGAAGAAAAATCTGGAAGCAACACAACAAAAAACTAGACCTAGATTTAGTGTCATAAGACAGCTGCAAGAAATTCAATTAAGTTGTTAAGCCTATGTAATGAAAAAGAAAAGTTAGTACATGAAAATCCTGATAAATTGCTTAACAGAGTCAGCAGAGTCCTACCCCCTAGCTATGATTTTTCTTCTTTCCTCCATTCCTTTGCTGCTCTTTTAAAAATACTCACCTTAGTTATGAAACTGTACAAAAACTGCCCTCCCCCCAAAACACCAAACTTCCCAGAAATACAAACTACCAACACAAAAACTTTCCAGAAGATTAGCATCTCACCAGCCATATAGATCTATGTTGGGAAAAGCATCTAAAAGGCCTTGTATTGAGTCCCTAATTCTGATGATTCTAAGATTCTGATCGAATTCTATCCTACTATTCTGATCAAATTTGAGACAGATACTTTATATGATCTTACAGTGCCCAGATTTCTCCTCTTAGGTAAGCAGTGCTTCTTACTCAGAGAGCAATCTGTACACATTTTCATTATATTTTGAAGTCAATTGCTGAAGCTGTGCTAATGTGTTACCCTCTATTAATACAGGAGAAGCAAATATTTTCAATATGCTCTCAGACTCTAAAAAAATTTCTCCCATTAAAGAATGCAATGTCCTCTGCTAGTTTATGGTTCATTAGCATGCACTGACTGTTCTACTATTCAAGTAATATTGTAGGTAAAGGTGAAAGAGCTTTCCTAGAGACACAGTGTCTAGCATAGTGCCTGGAACACAGTAGGCTCTGAATAACTATATGTTAAAGAATACATAACTGAATGAACTACTATCAAAAAGAATTCATACAATGAGATAAACTTTGGCTCAAAGCACAGATTTTTCAAGTCAAGTGTTTAAGTCCTGTTTGGCCAACATAAGACAGGGAACACATCTTCCCTGGTCTCTGTTTTTGTTTTTGATGCAGCAGAGGTTTCACACACTGGTATTTGTTTTGTCCCATTTCCTTTTAAAAATGTTTCATTTAACAAGGAAAGTCCTTTTCTTGTAGATACTAGAAGGATCTCCAAAGGTCACCGCGTATGATATCCGATAATTCTGATTAAGGGCAGTGCCACTGGGAAATTTAGGGTGGTTGGTTGATATTCATAGTGTATATTAAAAAATGTCATAGTCTGTTTTCAAATTTCAATGCATAAATATGTACCACGTATCTCTAATAGCCCTATTTCTCTTGACCCAACTTTCCAGGATGGTCTGCAATGTTCTAATTTGAATGCTGAATTGATTCTATTCAAATCATTTTTCTGAAATGAAAGATGGCTCACTCTCTCTTCACTGAGGAATGAATTAACTCTCCCAATAACTGGCTTGAATTTTTTAAATGTAAAAATTACATAGACTTTTTATTTCAATAAAGAACAATGGTTTAATCTTTAAAAACATTTAAAAAGGCATTCTGCATTAAGTTCATCATCTTTTAGGAAACTACTCTAACAACAAAATTACATTAGACTCTCTGACTTCTCCATAGTGTCCTTAGATAAATAAACAACCCAATAGACCATGTTAAATGCCCCGAATGTTACTGGAAAGAGAATGCGGGCGTATTTGTCTATTTTGCTTGTGCCAGATCCAGACGGTGGTGGAGCAGAGGGAGGAGTAGTGGCTGACAACTTCCCAGAAGCGCCTATGGTATTAACAGTGGTCTTAATTCGCTCCAGTCTTGATCCAAACACACGGTGGGTAGAAGCAGATCCAACAGAAGCCTGTTGGGACACATACCCAGTTCTACTAGGAGTAGAGGAAGGAGCAGATAGAGGTGCTCTTGCAGCAGATATTGTTTCAGCTGCATTTGCATGGCTGAATGGGTTTGGACTGGCAGCTAAGTAAGACTGTGGTGTGGCTTCAGAAGATCCTTGAATAACTGTGGAAGATTTGCTCGAATGGTTTCCCACCTCGGTTCTGTTGCCAACATCAGACTCAGAGTGAACCGAGGCATTTGTTCTTTTTCTCATGTTCAGATTGGCATTTGTGTTCTGAAAAGGTATATTAAAAATTACATTGATTATGTCACTTTATATAGATTTATACAAAATTTAAAGGGATCGAAGAACTAAAATTAGTTGTTTCTATAAAATAAACTTTTATTAACATGTTATAGCCACTCAGCTTGATGTAAAAGCTTAAAAATATCTAACTAAAAAAGAACATGAATGTATTTGAAACTCTGAATCAAAAATCTTCTGTTTCAAAATATTGAATTTAAGTCTATAGAAAATGTGGCTTTTAGAACAATAAACTAGACTTATGCTTGATTTTATTTTAGGACTTCCTGATGATAGCTGTACAACTTCTTTGTTCTGTTTTATTGAAAATGATATTCTGTGCTAGGTTGTATACCCTTTGGTGAATTTTATATATGTTTGTTTTATAAATAGGAAGAACTGTACTTACACTTGTGCACAGAATAACAATAAGAACCATCCATATGTGCATGACATTCCTTAGAAAAAAAAAAGTGAACTCCAAAGGTTAAATTTCCAAATCCCTGAAGTTTATTGTCATAATCTTACATAGGCAATCCTACACATTATTATAAAAACTGGAAATCCTAATGTATTTTTTCACCAAAATAATGAAAATACAAAGGAACATTAATTTTAAACAAAATGTTATATTATACATGTAAACAGCATCACCATATCATTGCATAAATATCTGAATTCAAACTATTTACCATTAAAGGGTGGTTAAATCCAAATGGAACTACTATTTTCCATCAAGTTATTTCATGTGTAGAACAAGACCATCCTTTGAATACAGATGCATGATAAAGATTAAAATTAATTCTCCTTATATTGTGACACGCACTATAAATAACTGGATAGCAACTATAGATTGTCCATGCTAATGAAGGAAAGCAATGCTCAAAGGATTCCCAAAATAATCATGTCTGTCGTTAGAATATACCATGATTCTTTTCGTAAAAAACATTTCCTCCTTGTGCTTATTCTAAGCTACATTAAGGGTATATTGTAATTGCCTTCTATACTCTCCCCTTACCATTTTATGAGACAGGTGGTGAGTGAGGAGATAAAGGAGGGAAAGAAAACCAGCTCAGAAGTGGGTGATTAGAAGGAGCCAGCCTACAGGAATATCACAGATAATATTATATACAATTAGCTGAGAGCTCGTTTTACAGAGAAATGTTTACCTACAAATATAATCCCTCTTCAATACCACCCATCAAGTAGGTTGAAAGTGTTCAATCCATATTGAATATATTTGTGGATTGGGACTTCAAGCTTGCTAAGTAGAGAAAGAATAAAAGCCTCACAAAATTTAGAGCCAAAGTAAGATCTGAGCGGTTTAGAAAGTATTCTTCATGTCAGGCTAGAGTATTCTTCTCAACAGGTTCAGTTGAACTCATGAGAAATGGTAGTCTATCATATGGCACCTAATTTTGGTGAAGACAACTGAAACCAAAATTGACATCAACATAAAAGCTAAAGATATACCCTGCACTCTTCCTCTACAAAGCACATTGTAAATGTCAGTTTAATCCTCAGATTTTGAGTCCCTAACAGAAAAGAATAATAGTTAATTGATTAACATCAATTTTGAAATGTCACACAACAGTGAAGAATATAAAGAAGGATAAGGTACATCCACATTTAAAGAGCTTACACTGCCATTGGCAAAATGCATACCCACACACATGATGCAATAAAAAATATAACAAAAAGTAAACTATAGTGAAGGTCAAGCTGTAACCAAATGACAACTATACTAAGAAGGGAAGGGAAGAGAGTAATAACAGACCAGTTAAACAAGCGGAAAAGAAACGTATGTTTTCAAATATAATCTGATATTTACATACTGTCTTCTTCCCCTACAAGTTAGGTTGCCCATGATCTTTAGAAAGAAACTCCTATATTTCCCAAGACTAAATTCTAAGAATTAGAGACTTCCACTTCTGGCCAAAATGGAGTACAATGGACTGAATTGTATGAAGTGGCAAGAAAAAAATCTGGACAAAATATGTTTTTTGAAGACATTGAGCGTTAGGCAACATAGAACCATAATCATTGAGAGAGAAGAAACAAACTTGAATGTGTTCCATGCTACAGAACAGGAAAGGAGAATTCAGGAAAAATATGACAGATTCCCTGAATTGAGGACATGCAGCTAAGAATCCAAGGAAATCAAGGTGGCTAGAGTTCATAAGAAGAAGTAACAGAGAAATGTAGGCTGAGAGAGAGAGAGAAAGAGAGAGGATTCCAGAAATCTGAAAGAGTCCCCATTGCTTGACTATTTTAAGTACGGATCAGTTTATGAGTATGAAGTCCTACCCAAGGCTGCAAAAAGAACCCCCTAAAAGGATTAGAAGGAATGGTACGTGGTACACACAAAACCAGGGATAATAATTCATGTTCCCACCAGCCAGACTGTAAAATCTCACCATTCATGTAGCATTTGGTAGAGTACTAAGAAGGACCTTGCTACAGTAATATGAAATAATTAGCCCTAAATGCAGCTCTAGTCCTGCTGAATGTATTTTAAAAGTAACGTCTGAAACGATGAAATTAACTCTCAGATGGGCCTCAGGAGAAAGCACAAGAACGTTCATAGGATTCTGTTTTCCCTCTAGGTCAATATCTTTCTGGAACCTCCTGAAATCTCAACTGTAAATCATGTTCTATATTGGTGATAAATTTAAAAATTGCAACAAACTTTCCTCCTTCTTTCGATATCCCCACTCTTCCCCTATCAAGAGATGGGTTTATCTCCCCACCTGGCTTCCTCCTAACTTTCTCTGGCCAACAGTATGTGGTGGAAGTGATGGATGTGTCATTTTTGTTTTAGCCTTAAGAGTTCTTGCTTGCTTCCAATCTCGCTCAAAACACTGCCATCAACACCCCTAGAAGAAGTTAAGACTAAACTAAAAACTAAACTAAAAAGATCCTTTGGAACAGAGCCAGTCAGCCCAGTGAGGCTGTCCTAGGTCACCCAACGGCTGATCACTAGATACACGAATTTGTCCCAGCTAAGGGAGGATTAACTGCTCAGCCAAGCCCAATCAAGATCAGGAGAACATCCTAGTTAAACCCATACACTTGAAAGCAAAAGTAAATATTTACTGTATGCCACTGAAATTTTGTTTGTTATGCAGTCTTATTGTGGCACTAGATAACACAGATAGTCCAATTACATCAGGAGTCCTAACAGAAGGTATTGCCAAACTGCTTGTGAGGGTGAAGCTCTCAAACGTTCTGGGGTAAGTAGAAAGCTAGCCAGCCCAGAATTCATCTAAAACCATTAGGGGGCCCTGTTGCCTAACTCCACATACCAGCTGAAGGACCAAGATATTTTGCCCTTTATAATTCCATTACTGAAGAATAGCAGTATTTTAAAAATGGAAGAAATTCTAAAATTCCAGTTCCTCATATTACAGTAGAGGAAAGTAAGAGTAGAGAGGTTATGACTGGCTGGAAGCCATACAGCGAGTTACTGACAGAGTGTTTTGCCAAGTTTTACAGACTCTTGATAAATATATGTGGAGGAGACATTAGAGAACTTAATAAAGTACACCAATCTCTGTGAGTCAGTTAAGTATTTGCAATAGTCAAGTACATTGTTGGGAACTTACTCAAGACTTGGAAATCAGAAGAGAGTACAGCATGGCCTTTCAATGTCACAGTGGAGCGTTGTTTAACAAGTCCACCCAAGGATTATTAAGCCTGTACGCGGGAATTTGCTTGAGTTTGATTTCGCTATTTAATATTGGATTTGAGTGCAAACATTGTGAAAGTGAACATGTTAACTTGTAGATTCCTGTCCAGGAGAACAGACCACCAAAGGTTATGTTATGGTTTTGTTGTCCTATAGGATATTATTCACTTCTGTACCTAATCTAGTATTTATTATCGTACTCCATTTTTTAAATGCCACTTAGAATCATCAAAAAGATTTTGAACCCGTTTTACCACTTATGTGGTTCCCTCATTAATTAATGAGTTGGGTAAAACTTTGACAGATGCCCTTTTTTTTAAGATTTTATTCATTTATTCATGCGAGAAAGAGAGAGAGAGGCAAAAACACAGGCAGAGGGAGAAGCAGGCTCCATGCAGGGAGCCCGACATGGGACTCGATCCTGGGTCTCCAGGACCAGACCCTGGCCTGAAGGCGGCGCTAAACCGCTGAGCCCCCTGGGCTGCCCAACAGATATCCATTTCATATTTGTATGAGTTCTCTTTTCGATGGTTTGAAAATAATATTCTGACTACATATGCTATTATATTCTCACAACATCTACTATTAGACGACTTATAAATATCAAAGAAACTATGCACAGACTTGAAGAATATACCTGGAGAAAAAAAAATGATCCCAAGCCAAAGAGATAGGGTCCATCTCAGATGATTGGAAGAAAAGATCAAAGATGCAAGAGACTTCATGAAAATAGAGGGAGTGGCATGAAGTGTGCCCTAGGTTTACCACTCCAAAACAAAGATCAGATCTTTTTATTCTTAGTTTAAAAGTATTAGTAAGCTTCTAGAGTATACAGACTATCTTGTTAATCACTGTAGGAGAGCGCACACAGCAGACACCTACGTCATTTCTTAATAAATTCCACTGAAATGGATATATTATTGAATTGAAAGTGTCAAAAATGTTCTATTTGACCTCCAGATTATCATCCCTTTGTTTATGAAGTAGATTTCTAGAATATTGCAGATACTGCCTAAGGCATATGTTACCTTGATGCAACCCCAAGTCTGACTAAGAATGCCAATGGAGTCTCAATACTCTACGCATCAGGACCCACAGAGAGGAAAGCAGAATTAGACTGATTTGGGGCTTAAATCTTTGCTTTCTACCAAGCAGCCAAATAATACTTGAGTTATTTTGTACTTATGTCTCAAGGACTACTCAGTAAAAAGTGGTTGTCATTTTCCATGGTGACAAACCACAAAAGGACTGGAAAAAATCTGCTGACCTACCTGGCACAGGATTCACTAGGAATACTATTCAT